AATTAAGTTAATAATAGATGACCAAAACTATAATTTAACCTATTCTAAATAAGTAACTTATTAGTAGTTTTTTAAATTTGATACCCTAAAGCCTTATTTTAGGGTTAGGGTTTCTAGTCCCCCTTTTAAATGAATTAAAAATACCAACTAAAAAAAAAGGAGGAATAAGGTTCGAAATCTAAGATTATTTTTTGGCTTCTATTTATATATTGCGTATCTTTCTCCTTTTCATATTTTTGTTTTGGATTCGTTCTGCTGATTTTTGTTGACCTCTTTCATTTTCCGGGCTTTGTTGCCCTTTCGTCATTGAAATCCATGATCTTCAGTGTCTCATGGACTCATCTCCAGTGCACACCACTTCACTCCATGAACAAGAAGATGAGTGGGGTATATTAGCTCTCTCTCTCTCTCTCTCTCTATGGTTGTTTATCGGGAAAATTCTGATAAATGGAAGAACTTTGGATCTTCAGCTAAAAATCAAATTTTTATAATTGGGGTTCTGTTTATTTTTAATTTCTAGATGTGGGTTTTTTAGATTATACTGATATATGTGCGGGTCTTTGAATCGATTATCAATGAAAATTTGTTTTGTGGGTATCATTAACTATGAATATTGGGCGATTTTGGTATTTATAATTATCTACGTTAATCCTTTTTTTTGTGTTGATTTTCTCTTGATTGGTGGATCATGATCGTATCCATATCGAGCTATATAGTATCTTGTATTATTCTTTGTTGTTTTCGTTGGTATTTGGTTGCCTTTGTATTGAATGTGACGATCTTATGCATAAGTTCATGAAGTTCTACTTTATATCAGTGTGAGGGATAAGCAAAAGAATCGATAACTTGGCATCTCTTGGATAAACTTATGAACTGGCAAAAGACAACCTGTTTGCATTTGCAGTTGGTTACCTTTCATAAGTTCATGAAGCTTTAGTCGTTCATTTTGTCTTTTATTGCCTTTGATTCTACAGCAAGATGATAGTAAAAACAGATGCATTTTTGTTTAAGTCCTCACTTTCGAGTTCACAATTGCTTGACATTCTGATACCGTCCCTTGTGTATGTATATGCTGCTGGCTTCCATTAGTTTGTTGTTTTTAGAGTGAGATGTTCCGCCACTAGTTGTGCAGATCATTATATCGTGGCACATAATTTATAGGTGGCTGTGCTAAATGGCCTCTTGTGAAGGATCATCTTTCAGGATTAGAGAGAATCTGCTGCCATTATTTCTGATTGTTATCGGTAGAGGGTGAGAGTTTCCATGTCTCCCATGAACATAGTGATTTAGTGTCTTGCGTTTTTTTGCTTTGGTAAAAATCTTATGAAGTTACATGTTAATTTGCTGGAACATTGTTTGTATTTAATTCCTTTGTTTTAGAGAGAAAAAAAGTATAATTGAAATTGATTAACCTGAGATTTCTTACTTCAATCCATTTACTTTTTATTCTTCATCAGACACTGATGGATTCGTGATTCCTAGCTTGGGAATTGAAGAACCGGAAAAATGTAAAGCTGATACTTCGGATGTAGAAACATCAAAACCTCATTCGCAGCAGGTCAATTGCAAATATCTATACCTGTAGATGTCAAGAGTCGATACTCATTTATTTGAAGCTTTTGTCTTGTTGACGCATAGGTGCTAATATGTAGACATGTTTATATTTTGGCTTGTGCAGACCAAAAAAGAAGAGAACATTTACCTGGGACCACACGGTGCACCGCCATCACAATCAAGGCAACAGGAGCTGAATCTGTCCAGCCGGAAGCAGCGGTTTAAACAAAAACTGAAAGAAGCTATAGATGGATCAGCGGGGCAGGGCGGGAGAACAAGGTGGAAAATTTGAAAGAGCTTGTAGGTGGTGGGAAAGCAAGCCCCAACATGTCCAAGGGTTCCCCCAGGGATTGGCTAGACCCACATTGCGATGAGTCGCAATTTGAGAAGTCATACCCCCAGTGAATCAAAGCTTTATGTGTCTTGAGATACTTAAACGGTGCAAAGTTCAACATACCGGCATCATTTATTATAAGTCTTTGTCTTGTTGTATGCAAGCGAACTACTGAGCTTATGCAGTTTGACAATAATCCATCAACCAAGCCATTTGGTTTAAGTACTAATGAGAAGACATTGAATGTCATATTTTAAAGTTGTTTTTACTCCAATTTTCTTTGCATATATGCATGCACCTTGGTACACAGGAACTCATATGGTTTCACCATAACAGCATGAGCATGCATCATTGCTTAGCCACTTGGAAATTCTCTTATTTTCACTCATCTTCAAGGGTAGATGCTTATTCTGTTGGTACAAAATTGAAGTTTCAAGTCATGCTTGATCAACGTACACCGATTTTTGCAGTGTAAGTATCCATCAAAAGGCCCCCGAATTTCGCGGTTCCGAAAGGAAATCTAAATTCTGAAATGCAAGTAACAAAACAGCAGTATATAAGTGTAAATGTTCAGTATCAATCGGGTTTCCAAAATTTTCTAAAAGCAGTTTAAATGGAACTAATCTTTCTTCTTATAAAAAATGGATGTCCCTTATTCCCATATGTAATGGGGTAAGGGGTAAGGGGTATGTAAGATAGTAGACTGCTCCCAACATTAGGTTGAGAACAACTTCCGTAGGAGACGTCCAAATTATGAAATACCCTCCATAGGACTCGATCCCACGACCTCAAGGTTAAAAACCTTGTGCTCTACCAACTGAGCTAGATGGTCATTTCAACTAATTTTTCTTCTTATCTTTGGACAAAATAATGATTATCGACTCAAGCGCCAAGTGTAAAAACTAAAAAAATGCCAAGTTCCAATCCTAATAAATGAATCGTTTAGGATGCTCGTTCCCCAAACGTTTAGGTCAACTTGTCGGAGTAACTTCTGAAATTTCCATCGGCGAACACGAGCGTTAATATGCCAACTAATTTGATGGCTAATGTTTGCGTCGGAGTCGAAATCTTTGCAGGGTTCATTTGGTGCTCATGAACTCTAATCCAGATGCGGTGGGTGTCAATCCATGCTGTGACAGATACTTGGCATCGTAAAATTTGCTTAAATGCCTCATCCCACTGTCACATAAAATGGTTGCAATGGTGTGGCCAGGGCCAAGAGCCTTTTAAATTAATTTTTTATTTTAAATTAATTTTTTCATTTATAATTTTAAAATTATTTTACCCTAACATTCTAAATCTCTATTTTTTCAAATTATCTCACCTTAACATTTAAATTATTTCTTTTAATCTTAAATTATTTTAAATTAAGTTGTAATTTTATAATTTTATTTTTTTACATTTTACATTTTATTTTTAGATTATATAATTTGAATTTATAAATTCTATGTTTATGTGTGTATTATAAACTTTTAAATTTTACATTTTTTTTCTATGTGGTTTTTTAGAAAAATTAATATAAGTTATAAAAATAAAATAAATATTAATTGGGTACCCATAACCCGAAAATGCGAGTACTTTTACGGGTAGTCAATTTATGGGTATTCGTCTCTTACGGTCTAGGTTATGGGCCAAATTTTTGTGACCCGAAAGTCTCGGGTACCCGACATTTCGGGTATCCAAAAATGTGGGTATCCGAATTTGAACACCTCTAATACAAAAATTTGAGTCGATTCGATTCGAGCTGAGTCGAGTTGTATTTTTTAGTTTCTATTTAAATTTAATTTTAAGATCATATTTTCATATCTTAATAAATAAATTAACGTATAACTCATATTATCATCAAAATTTTAACGAAAAATGACGAGTTTGGTATATATGAATAGTCATGTGATCATTTTGTAACTTTCAATAACAGGAAAACTCAACAAAATAATTCTCAATAGTTAAGGGACCGTTTTATAACTTTCAATAGCCAAAAAATCAACAGAGATCACCTTATAATCGAGCACTATTTGTATACTTTACCCTATCATGTATATATTTTAAATTGAACATTTAAGGCAAGTAAACCAAACTTTAAATTCCATTTACTTATGCTTTGGGACTTTCTAGCTGTCAACCCTTTGGCCAAGAGTTGCCTACTTGTTTACCAATTTCATAGGATTGAGAAATTGATCATGCACGTGGCAATCATTTAAAACGTGGGACCAAAATTTGTTTTCTTCTAAAAAAAATAACAACATATGATTCGGGTCCGATATATTTTATAGATGAGAAAATCGAGATCGGGTTTATAGTAAAAAATATTTGATCGAACATAATTATTATAATTCTCTTATATATAAAGATAAGTATTATTCTATATTTCAAGACGGATAAAACATCCTCAAATGTTAAGACGAGTTAAATCAAGTAAGAGCTTTTAATTTTTAAATTAGGTTGGAGTAATAAAAAAACCTGACCCATCCCGTCCCGTACTCATTCCTATATATAAGTCTAATAATTGTAATTTTGGTTTTATCTATCTATTTTTTTGACATAATTTTTTTTGTAATGTTATTAATAAGCCTAAATTAATAACATTATTAGTTTTTGAAACTTTTGGATGACGTGATTTTTTCTATTCATTATCATTTGGACACATAATTTTGTTCAATTACTAATAAATTTATATTTTAATTAAAATCTTACTTTTTTTTATTCTCGAGATATAATCAGTGACAGATTCAGAATTTTTTTTCAATGTGGGCACATATATATTAATAACAAAACGTTTTCGTATGAGATAGACACAAATAAAATTTTTGGGTGAGTATCTTTAATAAAATAAACAACTAACATAAATAAATTCGGATTTCAAGGTAAGCACGTGTTCATCCTAAGTTGTACGTCCCTCCGACACTGGATACAATACAAGAGATCGAGAACGGATTTTTTAAGTGGATCATGAAAAAACTATATGAAGATTAGCTAATTAAACACAAACTTCCAATCCAAATCATGCTTAGCACACACCAAAATTATCTAGCAAGAAATAGGGATAGACGCGAAATTTAACGTTAAAGGACAAACTTATAAAATATGAAAAAATCTAAAATATACGATATTTTTAAATTTTCAGAGGTCGATTGTCCTGTCCATTCCCTTATCAATTCGTGCATAAAAGCATGTCTAATACAAAGACTTTCGTTCACTTATATATATCAAAGTTGATCGGGCCAAAGAAAAGCTCCCATGGCAAATGCCCTCTTCTCGTTGACGGTGCCGCCATTAAAGCCGAATCCGTATTCTTTCAACAACATATCGATCCTCCATTCTTCCATCTTCTCGTAATCCGTCTTCGAGAACCGAGGGTAATGAACTGGCATTTCGAAGCCATTCGGGTAATCTTCTTTGCTGGTTTTGATGCTGCTAACCCCTCTTTCCATTTCCTTGTAGCCCTTTGAATTCTCATTGACAAATCCATTAGGGCATGATACCACTGCCTTGCTGTGCAAGTCACCGCCGCCGGCACGGCCGAAAATTTTGGTAAACCCAGAACTGAGAAGCCATTTGAGAGCCATTGATAACTCAAAGCTTTGCTGCAAAGGAAATGGTGGTATTTATATATACATACGAGGAGGACATAAATTATTTGCATAAATTGTATCGAGAAAGTCACATGGCAAATATATGTAGGTCTCCATTATTAAGGGGTTTTCTTTTTAGGGTAAATTACACTAATCATCTCTTAACTTTACTCTCTCATATTTCACTCATTATACTTTAAATTCGTGTAATTTCCTCATTGAATTTAATACATTTGATTTTTTTATCATTCCGCCGTTAAATAGTTAACGGCGTTAAAACGATACCATTTTAAAAAATAAAATTTCTACAAAAACAACGTCGTTTTGCATCTATACAATAATCAATTTTTAATGCCGTTAGTGAAAAAAAAAACGACGAAGTGACAAAAAAATCCAAATGTATTAAGTTTAATAAGAAAATTGAACAGATTTAAAATACCGTGAGTTAAATAGGGAGACAAGTAAAATTCAGTAATGATTGATATAATTTACTCTTCTTTTTAATTAATGCCTTTTCCTGCAAGAAATTGTATGTATTGGCTGATATGAAAGCCACTTAAATGCTCTTGCATTAATGTGGTAGTTTTAAGTCGCTTTTGATATTTGAAATTTCCAGCTTATTTTAGGGCTTAGGTGTAATTAATGTAACTCAGATTTTAAAATTTTAGAATATTTATATTTAATTTTCGTCTAAAACATTTAATTAGGTACAAATATATGAAATAAATTTTTAAAATCTATTATTTAATTTCAGGTTCGAGTCATTGTGTATGCAGAAAATTTACTTTAGGAGTCTCACTCACCAAAAAACAGATGTGTAACCCGAGTCGGTCCAGACTAATCAGGACGAAGCCTTGGAACCGTTGAATCTTTAACGACACGATGATGTGGCTGACGGCTACTGACATGGTTGACGACTCCCGACGTAGACACCTCACTAAAACGATGTCATTTCGATCTGACTGTTAACGATTTAACAACCTAGTGGTATAATTGAAACGAAAATCAAAGTTCAATACTATAATTGTAAAAATTAAAAGTTCAATGGTATAAACGATACAATGCTTAGAGTTAAGTGATATCTAGTGTAATTTATTAAAAGGGTTTAATTTGAAATAAAATTAAGTTTTCATTAAATAAAAATGCAAGAACAACAAAATTAAAATCTTCACTTAAATATATGCTTCATCTTTCATATAAATCTAACAACCGTCAATCATTTTTATGTTTCGATTCGAACTTATATACAATATTAATGAATGTGTGGAGATTACATATTGCTCTGCGAATGATTTTGAATGTATTAATAAATTATCACAAAAGGAGATCTAATTACTCGAGATTATCAATATTTTCTGATCAGGATATGTGTTGTGATGAATGCAACACAAAATGTTAAAACTATTATAATGATAGATAAAATCGAGACATAAAATCATATGAACAATCAAGATACGTACAAAAGTCGTCTTGATCTAAATACTCAATAATGACATCAAAATATGTATATAAATCAATTATTTTAAATATATTAAATAAATAATGTTTAATAGAAAACTTGTAAATAAATAATGGTTTAATACCAAAATAAGTGTTCAAATTGTATATTTTTTTTTTCTCAAATAGGTGTCTAAACTATTTTTATTCATCTCGGTGCTTAACGTTACAAACGTTACCACTTTAGGTGCTCGGGCCGTCAACGATGTTAATTTCCCCGTCAAGTGACACGTGTCACAATCTGGTAATTTTAAAAATTTATTTAAATTTTTTAAAAAATAAAATTATATATTTTTTAAAAAAGAAAACACAAAATTTTTGAAATAAACTCAAAACTTTTAAAACTTTCATTTCAACCCCCTAAACCCACGTCAACCACTACCCTTTGCCGTCAATAAAGCTCCATCCAACCTCCTATCGCCCCAACGACCAAAACCCTTATGAAATCATGGCCGATCAACGGCTGATCGACAACGATTCCACGCGAACCCTAAGATAAAAATAGCGATCCACGCGATTTCGACAACCAACCGATGACAACTACTATGATGTATGACTAGTAGTATGGAAAGAACTACGTCGGCGACGGTGGTCGCGGCTGGAAAGGGCGATGACAGTGGATTAAGGTTAGGATTTGGAGATTTTGGAGCTATATTATAATTTAAGAGAAATTAAAGTTTTTTTATAAATATAATAATATTTTTAATATTTGTTTATAAATAAATTTCAAAATCACCATATTATGACATGTGTCATTTAACGAGAAAATTAACATCGTTGATGTCTCGAACACCTAAAATAATAATGTTTGTAACGTTAGATATATAGATAAGTTAAAAAATAATTTAAACACCTACTTAAGAAAAACAATATAGAATTTATAAAATTTGAGTACAAGGAAAATAACATAAGATCCTAACTGGGCTACCAAACAGCGAACTCTACTATCCCAATCTTGTTTTCACAGAATTATTGAACACCAGCTTCCAAACACTCCCTTAGACCCCACATATCCAATTCGTCTCTCACTAACGATTTGTAAAACCCTGAACATTGATCAAAATCTCCATCGATCGATCAAAACATCCCAAAATCGAAAAGCTCTAAAAATAAATGTCATAGATCTGAACGAGACACTACATTATACAGATTGGAAGGTAAGAATTTAACTTCAAATTGTTTCCCATTTTCCTTTATTGAATCTAAAATGCTCCCTTTTTGGTTGGCAAAGCCAGAGAGAGGTTGGTGTCCCTTCAAAAGGCCTGGAGTTGATGCCTTTTTGGAACATTTGGCAAAGTTCTATGAAATTGTCGTCTATTCTGACCAGATGAATATGGTAATTTGATCATTTCCATTGCGACAACCATTTCAAATACGTAAATATGCCAGCAAGTAAATTTATCTGCTTTATTTTTCCTTTTCAGTGTGTCGATCCTGTTTGTGAAAGGTTGGATGCTAACCATTACATACGGTGTAGGCTATCAAGGGGTGATACTAAATATCAGGATGGCAAGCATTATAGAGTATGTTATAGTTGGTCAATTTCCTTCAAAACAATTCTTTTTTCGTTTTCCCCTCAGTTTTTCTGATACTATGTGTATTAATCAATGGGACAGCAATATCAAGAGCAGCTAATTTGGAATCAGTATTCTTGTTAATAAATATTTCATGATGGCAGGAACTTTCAAAGCTAAACACGGATCCAGCCAAGATTTTATAGTGAGTGCTCATGCATTCGATTCTAGCCTTCAGCCAGAAAATTGTGTCCCTATTAAACCGTATAAGCTCGAGACTGATGATACAGCACTTTTGGATCTTATTCCATTCCTTGAATGTAAGTCTTATGTTGTTGCTTTTCCCTTGGCTTGTCACCTTTGTTAGAATTTTACGTGCCATCCTTGCTAACTAGTGTAGCTGGTAGGGTCCATGGTTGATCGAAACAGTCACGTGATTAGCATTTTTTAAATGATTACTATAGTTGTTGATTGTATTACCATCTGTTTTGATTTGTCCACAGATATAGCTCGCAATAGCCCGGCTGATATCAGACAAGTATTGCAATCTTATGAAAGAAAATATATTGCAAAAGAGTTTCTTGAACGCTCCAAAGAGTATCAAAGGTGAAGTAGTTTTTCTTACATTGTGTATTGTTATGTAGAAACTGTCTTCGATATGCCATTTTTATGCTCGACGATTATGTTGGTACGTGCTGATCACTTCCACTTTAATATATCATCCAATGACAATCATTCTGAGCCCTGGCCCTTGATGACAAAGGCGAAAGCAAGAGCAGCAAGGTCGGTTCTGGAGGCGCTGAGGATAGAGTTATATTTAGTCGATGACGAATATTGTAAATCATTCAGCACATCAGGATGAACCAGAAGAACGTGAAACACTATACTGTTCAAGTTTTCCAGTAAAAAAACACAATTTTCTGAAAAGGATTATACACTGACTTAGATTTTTTGCTACAGCTAAATATTAGGACAGGGTGTGTTGATCCGCTCTGAACTTGCAAGATAATGTTCAATTTGATTCAAGAGTTTCATGATATTTTCTTTTTGTTTCAAAGTGGACAGTGCTTTGTAAATTGAATGTGGGTTTTCAAAGTGCAATTTTTGCATGAAGAAATATCATATACATGAAAGTTTCAATCTATAACATCGAGCCATTAAGCAACAGCTTGCAATCTTGTTTCCTTTAATTGTATAGCGTTGCTTTGTTGAGTTCTTGTAAAATGATATTTCGACTATAGGACATTGTTTTGTTGAGTTCTTAGACTATTAAAAGTTACAAATAGGTACTCGATTATTCATATATTACAAACTCGTCTTCTTTCGGTAAAAAAATGGCCGTCTTAGCTGGACGTTAACATATTGACTGAATATGATCTCAAAATCGTTTGAGATGTATTTTGTGGATTGACTCTTTATTTACATTATGTTGTAGATCCAATGCTTGAAATATTATATCATCGAGCCTAGGGGTGAGCGTTCGATCGATTTGACTAAAAAAAAATCAAGTTATTTGAGTTGACGAGTCCTAATTTATAACTCAAAACAAGATTTGAAATTTTTTCAAATCGAATTTTCTAGCCGAGTCAAGTTTTGCTCATCCATAGCTGAGTCAGTATTTGAAAGCAACAATGATGCCAGTAGGCGTCATTAAAATATGATTTTATCATATCTCAGTTAATAGGTTAACGTTCAGCTCAAATGATCGTTATTCTTTTAATAAAAAATGACGAGTTTGGAACATATGAATAGTCGAGTACCTATTTTGTAACTTTTAATAGTCTGAGGACTCAACAAAACAATGTCATATAATTGAATGACTATCTTATAAGTTTTAATAATCATGGACTCAACGAAACAACGTCCTATAGTCAAATAATCATTTGTGTACTTTACCCTTTTTATTAGAGACCAGGTACTAAATAAAGCATATCTATTAGAATCAGTTGAGAGAGTGGCAATGTAACACACAAACACCATGAAATGAAATAAAAGCACCTACAAAATGCTTGAGCATCATTTGCAGCAGCTAGTCTTCAACCA